TTCTAATTTGCATACTATAAAAATGTGCCGACTTGTTTTCATCAAATTCCAGGAAGAAATCTGCCAACCGATACAGATATTCCATCTTGTCCTCTCAATTTCACCTTGAAATCCAGAAATACTAGACGTGAATTATGTTAGGGGGCATTCCTTCGCATGGTGCTACCGCAAGCCTTTCCACCTATTGCTGTCTTTCTCACGATGAATAGGCCTAGTCTGAAATGTCATCCAATGCCAGTTTAACGTCCTCTCCCACGGACACCAATGAAACCTTTAGTGAGGTCGTGTCGTGTTGCACCTCAAGCCGATCAAGCAACATATATGTAACCTCAAATTAAATTTGTGAACACAAAAAATACGTACATTTTATATATCCACCTAATCAAGTTCTGGGAAGTACACGTAACTTGTACTTCCTGCGACATCATTTTTCTACATGCAGCCATGTAGAGTTTTGTGTGTGGGTACAGTGAATTGCACAACGCTATTTTAATGCATGGACTGTTTGCCGCGTTGCCATCACACCTTTTTTGGCAGTAGCACGGCGCAGCGGGAACCAGCGGAAACCTTGCATCATGAAGCAATATTGCATTCGTGTTTTTGAAACCATGATAGAGAAATGCGAAGGGAACTCGTGAAAACCACAAAACTTTCTTTCCACATGTTGTGAATGTAAAGCAGGTGTTTTCTGAAGACAGGATCCTGTCTTTCCTAGGAAAGAGAGAATCGGTTTTTCCTTTTTTGAGCTGTGAGAAGAGATGGATACACGTACGATGGCTCAAATTTGCCGGATGCAGCTGAACAGTTGATAAGCACATTTTGCTTATGTAGAATCATGGAGGAAGGACAAAAGTATTTTTTCAGCCCTAAAACGTGACACGATTCATAAAATTCCACGAAACTTGGTGTTAGATGTCACAACACCCCCCCTTGACCACATACCAGAAAACATATGAATAGTTCCAACTTTTGTGGGCAAAATGCACATTGAGTGGTGAAGTTACCACACCGAGTTATGGAATTGCCAAAAGACTGTGAAACTGTACTATGTATGCAAAGTGGTGGAATAACAAAGGCGACATTGTAGCATCAGAGCGAGCGAGGATAGCAACGGCGTGCACATCATTGTCCAATCTAGCAAGCGCTGTGTACATATGACATCGTGCATGGACAGGGTTTGCCTGTCACGTTTTTCTCACTTGCCAGCCGGACCAGCAGTGATGGCTTTTTACTAGTCCTTAAGCAGAATTTTCACTAGTCCGCGTCTTCCCCAAATTTCAACATTCTTTTTGGCATAGTGTTTTCTGCTCCAACATCATGCATAACATTTCCAGAATGTTCATGAGTATAACTCTACTCAAGCAAATTAAATATAAATCACAGATATGCCAGAAAATTGAAATAAATGTTTCTGTGAGGTGACATAATTCGTGGGGAGTCGTTTTTTCTGAAGTCCCTACAATGTTCTCATTCAGCTACAGGCCATGATGTAGAGTACGAACAACCTGGCCAGGATTACAAGTACATTGCAAGGATGCGAACATTGTGATTGGGGTGTTCGGTGTACATTTACACCTGTCACCACCACAGTAAGAAGACAGGTAATGGTACTTTTTATGAGGGATTCAGATAATAGGTCCGTAAAGCATTTAAAGGATTAGCCCACCGCAAAGTTAATGAAGAAGGCCCCTTAGATGGGCTCACTGCATTTTCACGGTGTTTTCACTTGACCTCAAGGTGTCGGCAAGGGGTCACAACCAGGATTATTTTTACGGTGTTATCACCATGTGAACTGCCATGAAGTTGCAGTGAAAAAACAATTTCACAGTGAAACTGCAAATTAACTGCAAATTCATGGTGCTGAAATTCATAGTGTTAGTTCGTTGTCAAATGCCCTTTGACCGCAGACAAGAATAGGCACTTTCTTGTACCTGCAATGCATGAGTTTTCCGTAGGAAAGACATGTTTTAACCTACTGACAGTAGCCTATATGTGGTAAATGTCATAATGATCTACGTGTAGTTGAAAATAGGCTGAGTGCTTACACTTGGTTACTACAGAGTACAAATCCCAAACACACTGTACGCCTTCCCCATGTAGATAAACCCATAGGAAGACAATTTGTCATGGTTAATCGTCTCTGGAAAGGACTATCGGCACATCTGTTTCTGTTTGCTGTCGAGGAGATGGGAACTATGGGAGAAATCGTTATGCTTTCTCTTAGAAGTTTCTTAGGGTTTCTGGTGCTGCACATTTGATCGCTGGCCTTGATCGGCAGTAATAAGGAAGTACAGGTTTTTATTTTCTCGAGTTCGTTGCCTGTAGGCACATCAGTTTCGCTTCGTTTTGCATTTCCATTTATTTTTCAATCGCGTTGACCAGACATGACATGGACAAATAGTGTCAACTTCCTGAAATATTAGAACGAGAGGGCTTAATAGTGATGGATTTTTTTCTTTCTGAAAAAAACGGTGCTTTATTAGTTTTTTTTTAACAAGAAAGTGATGAGCTGCAGCGAAACTGGCGAGGGCAGAAAGGTGGGACGGGAAAAGTGGTGCTTAAACCTGATGAAGACGCCATCAATAATTCATTTATAAAATTGTTGAGATGGATATTTTTTTCTGGAATTGGTGAGGTTGGAAACTCAGGGTAAAAGCTGTTGATGTTTGAACCTCTGAGGAGCGTTGGTTCATTAACCTCAGCCGGGGTAATAGCAAACATGTAGAAAAAATACTCTAAAGAGCAGTCGTATAGTTTATCTTATTTAAGAGAGCAGAATGCAAGTTTTTATGGGGTACCAAGTAGCAATTTGAAATTTGATATAATAAGTCCCCATTTCCTATCGCCAACTTACGTGATTACTTAGATAAAGTGAGTTCATTGGTTTTCACCCTTCAAGAAAGGAGTTTGACACTTGACACACGGATGACGATAAGTGATTATCTGTTAAATCAAACCGAAATTACCAATTATACTATTGCAAAATATTGCAAAACACCTGCATGTAATACACAAAAAAGCTTCAAAACTTAAGTTGTATATAAGATGAAAAGAGAAATGCACGCATGTTCTTCATATTTGAAACATTTATAGTTATCAAGATCAATACTGATATTTAATAAACCAGAAAACATACAAAAATGATTTGCGCATTTATCACTAAAGACTCAAACTAAACCGGCAACGACAGCAATGGAATATTATTCCAGTGGTAGCAATGCCTGAAAACACCTAATTCAATATTCCCGTCCTCCAGAGTTTGACAAACTTTCCAACGATTGGGCGGCTTCTTGCATGGTTGCTTCTGCCGTCACCTCAGTATCACCTTGTGCCTTAATGAAAGAAATTTAACAAATGGCCCATATTAAGTATCTTTGTATTAGAAAATGTAAAATTTTCATCTACATATAGCGTTCAAGTGGGCCTGTGGAGATGTGTAACTATTTGGCTTGGAGTTGGGAGTGATTACGTTCTACAAAAAAACAAACAACAAAACAAAAACAAAAACAAACAAAAGTTTTTCTTGAGGAAATGTGAAAGTTCTCTTATATGGAATCATCTTTAGGAAATGACCGATTTCAAACTGGATACGCTGCAAGTGCTAAAACGTGCTTTGAAGAAGCGATGCTGAGTCAGTCGTTTTGAGAAACTCACCGTTTCGACGGTACCTGCTACTTTAGAGTGAGCCAGTTTATGTTTCTTCCACAGGAGAAATGCGACAATGCTTATCACGACCACGACAGGAACGATAACCCCCACAGCAATGGCGGCAACATTTGGTCCTGAGCTGGCTGTTGGTTGGTGGACTGAAACAGTGTTAAACAACAGCTCATCATAATTCAAATGTCAGTGTTTGCAAAAAAATAGCCTAAATTACACCATCAGTTCAAAAAATCTTACCTCTGATTGTCACTGGATCCGAATATTGCACGTTTGCGTCCTAGAAGCAAACAGGAAGAGCAAAGCGTTTGCTGCAAGTAACTCTTTCAGTGGTTGTAAAATGTACGTGTATGTATATGAAATAAAATTAGCACATGTAAAACACTCTTGTGGTTTTCTGGCTAAATATTCTGAGTCTGACTGATAGAATAAATCATAATTCCATTTTACGTACCGTCTCGTTGCCCCTACTGACTGATCCAACACGAATGTTATACACGGCGCCCCTCTGGAGCGGTGCATTGTAGTAGCCGCCGTAGACCTTGGCATCCCCCACTACAAATCTATCAGGCACGCCCCATTTGGGAAGTTCAGCCGCAATATAGTCCTTTGGAGCAACCTCGAAATCGCTGAGAATAAGAATCTCCTTCTTAGTCCTGGAAGAAGACCTTTCCTTTTTGACTTGGACAACGTACGATCTGTTTTTTGTAACAGCCGAGTAGAATAGTTTCATGCCTCAAATTCTGCGTCCAGTATCAGAACTGCTTACATAAGAAGCATGTTGTATTAGAATTTAAGTTTATTTAGGTACTCACTCAATGAAGTAATCATCAGGTAGAGCGGGAGACAAACCAATAGTGACTGTGGTGTCTGTGGAATCGTCTGGGAATGGTATAGGTTTCGGAGGAGCAGAAAAACCTGTTTCAGAAATATGTGTCTTGTTATTGCATGGAAAGCTGCTGGTTTTGCCGTAGAGTTTGCTGTTTTCATTTGACGAGTTCATTGAAATTCAATGAAGTATATGCAAAGTGTTTCTGTCTCTTAGGTAATTACTGTAATTCAGTAGGATTCTGTCAAAAAGGTTTAGCCTCCCATCTTTTAGAATATGCACCCAAGTCGTTAATTGTGATACCTCGTACAGCTATTTATGATGCTTTGTTGTGATAAGTAGTTTCACAGATAACAGGCATCACAGTGTGCCCTTTAGGCATGCATTCTTTACCTGGATAATTTAAGCAGATTCTAGCGATAACATAGAGTGTAGTTCAGCTCAATTTTAATCATTCTTTACTGAAGTATCTTAGAATGTCGCATGACTTTTGAAGATCAAGTGAGTGTGTCATATCAAGACTGAAATTCAAACCCGAAACTTATCCTACCAGACTGGGGTTTGGTGTAAACTTCCAAGATTGTTCCAGGTCCAATATTCAACTGATTCTCGGCTGACATCTTGAACTCGTACTTCGTACCAGGCTCGAGGTTTTCTGTTAGGAAGGGTGAACTCTCACTTTCATTTCTGTCATAATCAACAGCTGGAGTAAAATCTGGTTGGTGAGGCTTCTCTCGAGCTATGTACTCAACCTGGCAGTTTAAACATTGATTGCATTATTGTAAATCAGTGAAGCCAATTTTCAGAAGTTCCATGGTACATTTCAATGTAGAGAAAAAGGACTTGGTAATTGGTATACATATACACGCTTAGAAATTATCATCGACAAATTAAACGTACATCAGGACATCAGGTTAGAGACACGAACAAGATTTCTT